CAGTAACTTTCACTTTTAAAATTTATATATCGATAAAGAATATCAATACAAATTTTACAGATTGTTTGCAGAAGAGATAGAATACAGAACCTATCTAAAAATTCTAAGATATACACAAAATACAGATAGGAATAAGAAAAAAAATTCTACAAGAAATAAGGTAAGAAGAAATGTTACTTTTTCTCAATTACAACAAACTGGATTTACGTTTACTTTCAGTAATAATTCGATTTCTACTTTCCTTGGCAATGTTTTGTATTTTGTGGCTAAACCACACAATGGTATTTATGAAATTGATATGCTAAACAATTGTAATTACGAATCAATATACAACATTAACAATAAACGAATTAAGCGAGGCTTAAATCAGACTTTTTTGTGGCATAGTCATCTTGGACACATAAACAAGAAACACATAGCTAAACTTCACGAACACAGTATTAGAATCATGTGATGGTTCATATGATATATGTGAGTCTTGTTTATTAGGCAAGATGACAAAGGCACCTTTTAAGGAAAACCTGATAGGGCAACAGAACTGAGAACTCGCACTTAACGTTTTACAGAAGTTGTTTTATGCATCGATGTTATTATGCATGGTTATGAGAAGTTTATTGAATTGTTATTCATGTACTAAATAACATATTTTATGAAAGATGATTTCTTCATGAAACTTACATATTCCATATAGGTATCTCAGGTAAGATCAAAGTAAGACATAAACAAACCGAGATAAAGAGTTATAGTTCTTAAGATAGCCATTATACGTGTTAGGTTATTGAACTATTGTTCAAATGCTTTTGCAGATGTAAAGTTGTTGGTCCAAAGGTGCAACATGGTTGCTACAGTTTGTAGAAGGAAGGTTGAATACAAACACATGTTTTTAACTTCTGAAAATATTTATTGATTATTGGAAGAATCAATGCATAAGTTTACAGATTGTTCGCGAAATAAGATAAGGTGGAAATAGAGAACACTAAGAAATTCTATAAAACAAAGCTTCAGAAGCACACAAATACTCTTGCACATAAGCACTAAGAAAGATAGAGAAATGAAGATGACTTTTTGAACGACTACTGAGAAAAGAGAGTTTTTCAGCTATTTATACTAGGTGCATTTAATGCAAGGAGCTGGTAATCCATGTGTTGTCTAGGGAGAGGCTGGCTGGTATATTTTTTCCTTGAGTTGGTCAGACTTTGACTGCATAATAAACAGTGTACCAAGTGAATAGTCATGCATGAAAGGAGATAATAACCATATTGTACCTTTTTGTCACATAGTGCATGAGTTTTGAATTTTTCAAGAGTGGATAAGATAAGGCTTGATATACAAGATTCAGGTGCAGCTACGAGGTCGATGTTGAATCTTTCTTCAGCTCTAGCTAAGGTTTTTCTTAATCAGTTTCTTACATATTTAGATATGTAAGATAACTTGCTGAAACCGCTTTAGCTCTTCCTGCCTTTATCTTCTACGTTTTCGATATTAACATGCAGTTTTTCTTTGGTATGTAGGCTTTTGTCTTTGGGGTCACTAAGGTTGTAATAGAGAATAGAATCACTAAGAAAGCTACTAAAATCATTGATAGAACATTCATAGATAGTAAGTTAAGTTTAAATTTACAATGGAAACTTTTAGCGATCATTAAACATACTCAGTGCTTGATTATTATCAAATTAAAACTTAAAGGAGTAATTGATTCCATGCTCAATTAGTTATTTCACATCTGACTCCTGCTTCCCACTTCATTTACCTTCTCCAATAACCATTTTAGAGTTTTGTTAGATATTCTCTACTCTCATTGACCCTGTACAATCTCTAACTTTGTACTCATCTATGTAGATCATTCCGAAATTTAGTTCTAGAAGTATTTTCCCACTCTTGTATTTCTCAATATCTTCAAGTTCTCATAGTTCATTCTTTCAAGATTCAGATCCGTAGCAATCTGATAACCGTATTCTGCTTCCTCTTTCCTATATTCTCCCATCACGTCTCCGATCTTCTTCTGGATTTTGTTGCTCAGTTTGTCTTTGTCAATTTTGATGATGAAGACAGGAAGCATCGCTCAAAGATCATAAGGATTTAGGTTAGGCAGATCTTTATCACTTAATGAGAATCGTTTAAAAACCGATAATTCAGATTCTACGAAGACGAAATTAGTGGGACTAATAAACCTCAAATTGTCATCATTGAAAAAAAAATAGGGTACGTATAGTGGCAAATTGTGCAAAACAAAGAATTCTATAGGCCAAGATTATGGTGGCAAATTAAAAAAAATTTGAATGCGAAAAATTCGACAACCATTTTACGAATATATGTGTCGCACTAGATACAAAACAAAAATCATGGGAAACACGACCACAAAAATGAAATCACCTATAGCGACGACATATCATTGCTAAAATCGTAATATTTTAAATCATGAAAACTCTATAGTGTCAACTTGTCGTTCGGAAATTGGGATAGAAGGGCACGTATACTACGACGATGTAACGATCATCGCAATAGATACTTACAATTACGAAACCTCAACGACTAATCCATGAAGAGAAACGTAATCGTTGTAGGCATATCTCGTCGAATTTGGTATATACAACGAATTATCATCACATAGAGCAATTTTATTGTAATGTCATTAAAAATACAATAACTCAAAATTAAAATATTTATATATTTTTATATGTATTTTATATAAATGTGGCGTGAAAATGAAGAAGGCATCAAATAATGAAGTAGTTTTAAAATAATTGAAATTATAAAGGATAAGAAACAATTAATAATTAATAACTAATATTTAATAGTTAATAATTAATAATTAATATTTAATATTTAATATTTAATATTTAATAATTAATAAAGAGTTTATGGTTGACAAGCTCCCCTCAGGAAAGATTCTTCGTTAAAATATAACACCAATGACTTTTACCTTCCTTCCATTGTCTATTTTTATGGAATCATTAATCAATTGGTTTATAAATTCGAGGGTTTTCCCGATAAAAAAAAGAGAATTTATTAATTGGTTTTTTTTATTAACCTAGATATTCAACCTGTTATGCGAGCTGACTAATCCTAGAATGACCACCTGCTTTGCAGATAGTCCGGAGTCACCGCATTTGAACCTCCATGGCCACAAAAAGATTTTTATTCTTCTTTGGATTTGAATCTGATATACCTCGTGGTACTTTTGACCTTTGGAGTCAATCTCAAACCAATCAAGCACCACCTTTGTGGTTTATTAATCTGGTTTAAAGTATTAACCATTTGTAGAAACGTGATTTTCCTTTTTCTTTCCTTTTTATAACCATGGTTTATGTTTGGCTTTATATAACGTTTAGAAGGTCTAAGCGTGTTGATAGAATGTCTTATAAAACTTAAGTTTTCTAAGAGGTGTTGAAATCTGAAATCTGATTTCATTTCTGATTTTTAAGAGGTGGTACTGAAGTCTGAAATCTGAATCAGTCAGACTGTTTGTTTTACGTTTGAAGTCTGAAATCTGAATCAGTCAGACTGTTTGTTTTACGTTTGAAGTCTGAATCAGTCATATTGGTTATAGCAATGTCCTGTTTCAACATGGATTTGTATTTCTTTCTTTCAAGGTTTTAGTCAAATAACAAAAAAATTCAGAGTTTTCCTTACGGTGGATGGAGTTGAAATCAGTTGTACTGTAGAATAATCTAATCCGTCTGTTATAATTTTATCATGAGATTCAAAGAAGATGAGATTGGGATATCAGCAGTAGATAGTGATCTTCTTCGTCGCCTTCAGATTTTGATTAGTGATCTTCTTCGTCGCCTTCAGATTTTGATTATGTATTGTATTGATCGTGAGAAAAATCGTGGATCATTGTAAGATGGACCACCGACGAGAAATAGTTGATTTAAGAGGTATTAAATGATAGGTTTATCGCTTAAAAATTCAGAGGAAGGAAACATCATTTAAGCTCTTATTTTGAAAAAAAAAACGGTCTAAAAATGAAAATGTCTAAACGATTCAGACTTAAAAGGTGATTAAGAGAAAATTTCGAAAAAGTAATCAGTCTTAATTTTATGGAAACAAACTATGAAACATCTTATCTAAAAATGTTGTAATAGATTTATATGACCCTTCTAGACGTTTTGATAAGTTTTTTAGGGCAGTTTTGAGAAGTGTCCTATAAACCCCATCTTTTTATAGGAAACATGGGTTTATAGAGCAACACGTTTTCAGATATTGTCGTATAAACGACACTTTATTTTAAAAACGTTCTAAAAACATGCTAAAACCCCCATAAAAACATTAAATAAATCTATTGTGACACTATTAAATAAGACGTTTATTTATGTGGATTTACAAACTTAAGTCATATAAAGTAGATGGATTTTTTTCATACCCTCCGATAATAATGGGGTATGTGATTAAAGAGGTATGAATAACAACCCCTATATAAAGTATTTTATTAGAACGCTTATACATTACAAGTGGGGTCGTCCCAATCTTTCTTGACACCGTACACAGGCACTAAAGTTATAAACGAATATCGGAAGTCGTTTTTGAATAAAATTTGATCGGCCTTCATTGAGGTTGCTTCACACGTCTATATAAATGAGACTCATTTCGTAGGCGGTGTTCGAAAACCCTACAAAATCAATTTTGTTGTAATGAAATTTAGTACATTTAAATCAAAGAGATTTCATGTTTCATCATGAAAATACAGATTGATAACATGTAAAAGGAATCAAATATGAGAAGTCAAGAATTTAAAATGTAGAGTGGTCGGGCCAACTGTTAAATGTTTCCAAACACAACTACTTACCCGCACCCCTATACTATATGGTGCCATTGTTATCTACAAAAGATACTCCATAGTTGACAGCAACATAACATATATACATATATACATATATATATATATATAATATCTATCTATATATGAATATATATATATATATATATATATTTATATATATTGTCGTTCGTCAAGTTACATAACCAATTAAGGATAAGTCAAAACAGAAAGAAAGAGAGAGAGAGAGATGAAAAGAAGAAGAGAAATGGAGAAACAAAGCTCATCAGAGCTAAGATCCGCCATTGAAGAGCTATCTTTGTTAGCTGTGATGAAGCTTAACCATCATCATCATCATCATCATCATCATCACCATAATCATGATCCAGTTGCAGCAGATGATGATAAACAAAATGACACTGATGACCCTGATCATATCCCTATCAAACCTTTCCTTTCTCTCTGCAACTTTCTTGTTCATCTTCTTGGTCTCTCTCTCTCTCTCTCTCTCTAGGGTTTTATGTACATGCAGATTTCTTAGATTCGAAAATCTTGAAAAAAATGGTAGATGGGTATATCTGGAATCTGATAAGATTTCATAAAGATTGTGCTTTTTTGTTGATTGCAGATAAGATAGGGCCAACAATGGCTGTTTTGAGACAAGACATCCATCGGAATATTCTGGTAAGCTCTTAATGCCATTAATCACTCGAGGGCTTTTGTTTCTCAAAATTGAATTTATAATTGAGTATCTTAATAGTAATTCAATTTATGGGATCAAATAATAAAACGTAGACGTTTTTAGGTGTCGTAATAAGTTTTTAGAACATTTTTTTTTAAATAAAGTGTCGTATTAACTATTTTATATAATGTTATTTGAAAAAATGTCTTATAAAAGACGGGTTCCTAGCACACATATCAAAAATGTCATATAAAATAGCTAATACGATACTTATTTATAAAATGTATCTTACAATGCCAAAAACGTTTTATGAATTTACGTAACAAGTTTATATAGAACGTTTTGTTTTTGATCCTATAAACTCAAATAACATGAATCATTTACTTTTAATGTATGCATGCTATTAGTGATATTATATTAACCGATAGTTGATTTAGGGTTGGTTTACTAAAGGTGAGTTCGGTCTAGTGAAATAGTTTAAAGGGATTTGCATTTCGTGGCAGGATTTGGAATTCATAGGATTTTAATTTGAAAGGTTTGGAACCATTGATGTGTTTGATTTGTAGGATTTAGAATCGAATGGAATTAAATTCCATATTTAAAAAAAATTATTAAAAGATATAAAAGTAATTAAATTATCTTTTTATTAATTGGTTATTAAAAACAAATGCTTTTAACATACTTTAAAATATTATATAGTATACAAATCCAACAAAATCCTGTGAAATCTCAATGACAAGATCATATATTTGATGGGTTTTCAAAAAAATTCTAAGATTTCAAATCCGAGCAGTCTTGCAAACCAAACAAGATATTGGAATGGATTTGAATTCTAAATCCCTCCAAAATGGACCCTAAACGTATTCCAGATTAGTACTTATTGGGTCTCATTTACCAATGTTGCACAAGTATGATAAAGATTGATAATCTTATCAAATAAAAGACATAACAAAAACCAAAAATCTTACCTGAAATAAGACTTTTGACTGATAAATTTTAATAGTATAAAAATGTTACGTGATAATATAAATAAAAGTATTAAACATTTATCGGTTGTTTGGTTGGTGAGTGAAACAATGTCCATGAGACTTTGTGCTTCATTAAACATGGAATCTTATTAGATTTGACTCCCATTTAATTTTCTTGAGGAAAGGCATGAAATTTGCCATTTGAAGGGATTCCATTTCCATTGGTTGGATTAAAGTGTCATATAGTATTGTTACAATGGAAACAAGATGAGTGTGTCTATATTATTGATATATGTATAAGGGCATTTTAGTAATTTGGAACGAGTTGATTGTTTATTTTGGATTTCAAAATGATTTGGGTTGCCATAATTACCCTTATATACATACACACATATAAATATATATATATATATATATATATATATATATGTTCATTTGCAATTAAATACAAACCATGAAAGTATAATCAACCATATGAATCAAGTTTAATTATTCATCTAGTCTAATAAATATACAGTTTTATAAATATATCGATTATTTTCTAATATAAAATATTAATCATAATTAATAAATTTTAAATATGTCCTGTAAATATTTAAATGATAATAAATAAACCTTTATCATTTTTATAAATATTGGTTTGTAGGTATATAATATTCAGAATGCTTGCATTTGATTTGTCGTATATATATATATATTGATACACACACACACACATATATATATATATATATGTGTGTGTGTGTGTGTGTGGAGGTTCCAAAAGAGAACACCCATGTTTTACGAGAATGCAAGAATATTCATGGGTCTCTAAATTATTTAGCCCATAATTAAAATTAAAAAAATAAACTAATTAATTAAGTGTAATCATGTGATTTCATATTTATATGTAATTTTGTTGACATCTTTATCTCTAAAATCACATACATTATGTTAACCAATATCAAATAATTATCATATTCTTATCACAGCAAAATCACATAATGAACAAACAGAACGATAAATATAGACGTGATCATCGCTGGTTTTCGATCATCACAATATTATCACATCGCTATCACAATAAAAACTGCATAATTATTAGATAATTATCACATCAAAATCATATCATAAAGAGTCTTCAACTTATCAAATCATTATCACATTATTATCCCGGTAAAATCAGATAATTATCACAATATTATCACACTATTATATACAACGGACTCTGATGATAATAACAAATTTTAAGAGTTAAGAATAAATCTAGAATAACAGAAAATTATGGATAAATACTAATAATTTTTATTTATTCTATTTTTTTATATTTTAATTAATATGCAGACCCATAAGTGTTCTCTCATTTTCGTAAAATAGGGGTGTTCTCGTTTGAGTCTTTTCCTATATATACACATGTCTATATAGAGTCGGATTCATATGAGAATGCTATATATTTAAGAAAATAAGAAAGTAATTGAATCACATGTGATTTTACACTAGCATCACGTACAAAATCACATGTGATTCACACGACATTCCTATGTGGCCTTGCCACGTGACCATAGGGTTGTCCGCACACTTTTTTGACCGTTAATATAAAACCGCATGTGATTTTGTATGTAATTTCGTCATTTTCTTATTTTCTTAAATATGTATCATTCTCGTATGAACTTATTCTTCTCTCTCTCTCTCTCTCTATCTATATATATTAATACCACATTTTTTAATTATCTCATTCTTTTAATTGTTTCACCTATGAACTTTCTAGTTTCACATATGAACTTGTTTAAATTTTCTTAATTATCTAATTCATTTTTTAGTTTCACATATAAACTTTGGTAAAAAAATTTGGAACAACTAAAGTTCATACACGAAACAAAAATATGAACTTTAATAAAAACCATTGTTTTTCACCTATTAACCTTAAAAAAATCATTGTGCCACCTATAAACTTTTTGGTTTTAGCTATGAATTTTGGAGGAAAAAATCGGAAGAGTCAAAGTTCAATGATGAAAACAGAGAGGAAGTAGCCGTTCATCTGTACTCTATGAACATGTGCATACAAATAATTTGTAAACAATTTTTCCAGTATACACATATGCATAATATTCACAAGTGCATAAAAAACCAAGAAACAACTTTAATTACTTATATGCACAGGTGTATATGGTCTAGATGAGTGTTTACCAGGGTGTTCCTCAGTTTTTCATTTTTTGGGGGTTTTTCTTGAACATAGACACAAACTCTCCCTCTTTCTTTTTCTCTCTCTCTCTCTCTCTCTCTATATATATATATATCTATATCTGTGTGGGGGTCAGATTTAGGAGAAACCATAAAAAAAACTAAGAAATACTCTAAAATCATTTATCTGTACCATATACAAATGTACATACAAGTAATTTGCATAGCATGCACATATATATAGCATGCACATGTGCATGGAAACTAAGAAACATCTTCAATTACTTGTATATGTATGTGCATATAATCAAATGAATGAATATTAGGGTTTTTATCAGTTTTTTTAGGGTTTCCCTAAAACTCACTTTATATATCTATTATTGATATATGTAAATGGGGTTTATTTTCCATATTTGATCCTTAGAGATTGGAGAAGATGCAAGAATCAAACCCTACACTTTATTCAAATGTTGTGGAGATACTAAAGAAAGAGGCAAGCGAAGGCACATCAAGAAAGGTTACTAGTTCTAGTAAAGCCTTTCTTTGGCTTACTAGGTATTTAACCAATCTCTCCTATGTTAGCTTCTAATCATATGTGAATTGACAATATTACCCTTAACGAAAAAGTTTTTGTACATGCTTCATTGCTACAGATCTCTAGACTTCGCGGTGAATATATTAGAATTGATAGAAAAAGATGTTGAGGTGAACATGGAGCATGCTGTTGAAGAAGCATATGAAGCTACTCTAAAACCATGGCATGGATGGATCTCTTCTACGGCTTACAGAGTACCATTTAATTATATTCAGCTTTACGTAGGGTTAAAATTGTCAAATACTTTTTGAGTAAACTCAACTCGTATATCTCTATATATATGCTCCGATCGGCATTTCAGGTAGCATTAAAACTAGTTCCTGACAACAAAACCCTGATCGATATTCTCAAATCAGAAGTTGAAGATCGAGAAGCTTTCAAAGACGATATAAAAACCTTCACATCATTACTTCTACCACTTCTAGACGAAATACATTCAATTTTGGTGAGCTTCTTGTTAATTTTAAATGTTAACATACCACTTTCAAGTTAAAATCACTACAAAAAAATTGGGTTTATAGGACACCATTAATTTATAAGCGACCTAATAGACCATTTTATAGGAATTAATTTATAAGACCACAAATTAAAGCATTGTAATAAATTTATAGAATGTTTTTAGACGTTTTGACAAGATTTTTAGGATGCTTTTAATACAAAGCGTTGCATCAACAATTTTATAGGACACTCCATCTTTTTATAGGACACTTGCTTTTGTAAAAAAACTTCTTCAAATAGTGTCCTATAAAATTACTAAAGGAATAGTTTGTTACAAAAGTGTTCTAAAAAACTTATTAATATGCTCAAAAGTGTCCTATAAACTTATTACAACACCTTTAAATATGATACTTCATCTTTTGGCCCTATAAATTAAGTTCTATAAAATAGTCTATTAGGACACTTAAAATTTTTTGACGTCCTACAAACCCAATTTTATTGTAGTGAATCTTGGAATTCTGATCTTTGATTCTTGATAATATTCTTATATATGCGTATTGCAGGAAACCTACGAGTTGGATAGGCTAAAGGCAACCTAAAGAACGAAGAGGGAAATTAACGAGGACGCTTAACAACCGCGAACACTATATGCATAAGCACTCAATAGTTAGAACATATATTGTACAACACTATTTGAAAAAGGTACCTATGACAACAATATTTCTAGTGATTCAGTAATACATGATATTGTCATAGATACCCTTTTCGCTACTAGTGAAACACAATGCTAGTATGTGTGTATATATGTGTGTGTATATCTACATCGACTTCTAGAGTATGTACATGTCGATTACGTAACATAAAGCAATAGACCAGTATTTTTCAAACGACCGGAGAAAGAAAAGAAACGATGCAATGATGTTATAAGAGAATGACTCAAACACCAACTATGTAGTTTATGCTAAGAAACAATTCGATACAACAAAACTGGGATCATAGGACATCAAAAAAAATTAAGCGTTCCAATAGACCGCTTTGCTTTATAGTACTTAATTTATAAGACTAAAAAATAAAGTGTCATATCTAAAGGCGTTGTAATAAGTTTATAGGATGTTTTTTGGAGTCTAGTTTTTAGGACACTTTGGATATAAAACGTCTCATTAGCAATTTTATAGAACGCTATTTGAAAAGGTGTCATATAAAACAAGTGTTTTATAAAAAGACGAGTTTATAGAAAGTGTGTTATAAAATTGCTAATGCAATGCTTTGTATTACAAGTGTCCTAAAAAACTTGTTAACATGCCCAAAAACATTGTATCAACTTACTACAACGCATTTAAAAATGACACTTTATACGTAGGTTCTATAAATTAAGTGTTACAAAGCGATTTATTTAGGACGCTTACAAATTGGTGGCGTCCTACAAAACCTAATTTCGTTGTAGTGATTTGAACATTCTTAATTTGATATTACAACATTAAAGATGAGGTCGATCATCAACGACGTTGAGTTATTAAATGGATATTATGGAAGATACCAAAATTATCTATACCTAATAAATCTGCACGATTCAAGGTTGAAGATGGGTTCCGAAGATCAAGGAGTGCAATGAGTGCCGCAACTAGACCAGCATTACTTGAAATGGTTGGTTCAGTGAACCAGGGTTTGTCCCTTTCATCTAAGAACACATCATCTCGATCAGGTCCTCGAACCATGGCTCCGAAAAGCTCGTTGGGATTCGGTTGTTTCGAGTTCAACCATGCACTCCCTTGAGCACAAGAATGCCATTGATTATCCCATGGGATTGATGCACCCCTATGGTGAGCATGTTTTGGGTAGTTGTTTCCAAACCCTACTACATAGCTCATTTTCATTGGGTTGTCGCCAAGTATGTAGCTAACCTAAAACAAACAACAATCATTAATGAATAAGATTAGAGAGAAATTAATCCAAAATTAATGAGAATCGTTATAACTAAACAGAAACATAAACATCATCCACTACAATAAAATCGGATTTATATAGGATGCCACCAATTTAAAAGCATCCTAATAAATAGCTTTATAGGAGCAAAAATAAAGTGTCATATCTAAAGGCGTTGTAATAAGTTTATAGGATGCTTTTGGACGTTTTAACAAGTTTTTTAGGAAACTTTTAATACAAAGTTTCTCATTAGAAATTTTATAGGACATTATTTGAAAAACGTGTCATATAAAAAATGAGTTTATAGAACACTTTCTCAAAAATGTCCTATCAACTTATTACAACGCCTTAGGTATGACGTTTTATATTTTGGTCATTTTGGTCCTATAAATTAAGTTCTATAAAGCGAATTAGGACGCTTCGAAATTGGTGGCATCCTATAAATCCAATTTTGTTGTAGTGATCCCAGATGATTTTGTCTCACTTAATGCAAAACTCTATCAATACAACAAAACTGGGTTTATAGGAGGTTAAAAATGTTTAAACGTCCTAATAAACTTCTTTATAAGATTAAATTTATAGAAACAAATTAACAATGATGTGTCATTATATCTAAAGGTGTTGTAATAAGTTTATAAGACTTTTTTGAATATCGTGACAAGATTTTTAATGATATTTTTATAATAAAAATGTTGTATTAATTATCTTTAAAAAATCATTTATAGGACTTTTTTTTTAAATGTCGTATAAAATAGCTATTTATAACGCCAACAACTAAAGATGTCCTAAAAAACTTGTTAAGACCAAGCGGACTTAGTTAGGAAGGAGTGGGGGGAAGGAATTCCATTTAAAAACAAAATTACAAGGGTTAAAAGTATTTTTTTTTACTTTTTCACTTCGTTCCCTCAGTAAATTTTTGCAAAAGACCCTACAACCCTAGCCGACCATCACTGACTCCAAAAAGATCTCTTGAAATCAATAAAAGAAAAACAAAAAAGTCTATGAACTCAATCAAAAAAAACCAAAAAGGTCATCGAATCAACAAAAACACTAAAAAAATCCCTCGAAATCAACCAAATAACTTAAAAAATCCCTTGAAATGGTGTAATTAGGCTAAAAACACGTCGGACGACTTTGCAAACCTTTAGTCTACCTTAAAGGTGACCCCACTAGGCCAAAATCATGGATAGCCACTGGTTAAGAGGTCCAAAAACGTGCTATAAACTTATTACAAGAGCTCTAATAGAACGTTTTATCGTTTGGTCATATAAACGTAAATCTTATAATACGGTTTACTGAAACAACTAAATTTTTTTGTTATCTACATTGTTTTACTTCCATGAGACAGAATCATGGTCCTATCTGATCTGGTCCCATAAAGACAGACAGAACAACAACTGCTTTTGTCTAACTTAAAAAGCATGTTTCTATCCTTTTTTTACTACTACTAATTAATTCTTCTTAGAACGGTACTTAAAGTTCGTTTACCAAACGCTTATCGGGAAGTGTCTACTGGCAAGAGTTATCATTCTCACTTATTTTATAAGATAACATTTATTGACATCAAAATGGATTGATGGTAAACGTTTATAACCCGGTAAGTGCTCATCAGTTAAGAGTCATCATCCTTACTTATGGGGTATGACTCTCGATCATTGTCTTCCCTCTTACCGGGTAAGATTCTCGATCATTGTTGTGGTCATCCGGTAAGGTATTTGAAACAGTAAGCGCTTAACAAGATGAGTTTCTAGTAAATGACCCCATAATTGTGATCATTGTATAATTACTTGCCTGAGACAAGGAGAAACCCCGCAGATTTTCAACCAAAAAACTAGTACCATCTGCGCAACTGCTACCAGACCTATGAAGAAGATCAAGATAGTCACCATACAATGAGCTAAGAAAAGAAGCCATCACGGCATACTCAAGGGGTGCGTAGTGATCCGGCTTTAAGAATATCAACCCGCCTATTTATATAAAAACAAAACGATAAGCGAAATCACACATTTTTTAGCTTTATTGAATGACGAAGGATCGTGTGAGAATAGGAGTTAAAGATGAGAAAAATAAGGGTGAAAATTCCTTAGATTGTGATAACCTTGAGAACTTATGCATCATGTGTTATTTCATATGATTTTTTTTTCCTATCTAGGCATACTATTTAATGTATTGAATAACATATATTTGTTTTATATGTATTTGTTTCACAATGTGAAACTTTTTTACGTGTATTTTGTGTTTCACAAACACGTCAAAAAAAAATTCACGTTGTGAACCAAGTACATGTGAAGCAAACACCTTGTGAAACAAATATATGTTAATCAATATTCAAAATCCTAGTCCTGGATGAAAAAAAAATCTTATCTTATAACACATGATGCACAAGTTCTCAATGTTCTCACAATTTCATGGCTTCTCAAAGAAAATCCCCTATATATATAATAGGGGGATGATTTCAAATATAAACCATGTAATTTTTACAAAGCATACAAAACCATTATATCAGGAAACAATTGAGATATTTATGGACAGTTATCATGATTCATTAATTATGGTTGAAATATATATAGAAGATGATAAGGTTCATTCATTATGGTCATGCCTTTGGATTAGGAAACAAACTAAAATCATATATTTATTAGACTAGATGGACGGCTAAGATTGGCTTGTAAAGTTTGTTAGAATTGCATAGACTGCCATTGAAATCACACATATATATACATATATATATATATATATATATATATAATGAACATAAATTGTATGTTTGTACCTTGTGTTTTACGAGCAAGCGGAGATAGATATGAACACATGAATGAATCAACGTTGTTAGTTGATAATATGAACGATTCTTCATATGGGTATCCAAGATCAAAGAAGAACCTGAGCCTCGATAACAAAACCTACAGATAACAAAACTTGTAACGTCAAACTTATCCAACGTATGTTAACTTAAACGAAGGTCGATTCTGTTGATTATGTTATTATCCCTCAGCAATTTTTTCTAAAGTTCATTGATTCAACAAATAGTGCACTCTAGACTTAAATCGAATTCACAGTGAACTCAACTTTGGGATGAAAATGGGAGTTACGGTATTCCAAGTGGTCTACTAGGACATCTAGAAATTGTTTGGTTCTATAAACTTAAGTCCAGTGGTCTACTAGGACATCTAAAAATTGTTGCTGTCCTATAAACCTGATTTTGTTGTAGTGTTCCTTAACTTTGTCTTAACGACTTAGGGCCCGTTTATTAAACACTTACCCAGTTAGTGCTTACCGAGTCACTTTATCTTATCAGATAAACATGACAAAGATTAAGAATCTTACCTGGAAGAGCGATCACGAGGATCGAGAGTCTTACCCATAAGTGAGAGTGACGACTTTTATCCGGTATGCTCTTACCAGATAAAAATGTTGCATATGATGTCGTTTTAATAGATTAAAATCTTATCCGGTAAGTTAAGTGAAAGTGTTGAATCTTACATGGTAAGCGTTGGATAAACCACCCCTTAAAGTCCCACTATTACTGCTCTATTTAGATGCATGTGTTTCCTAAAAAAGCCAATTTTATCGTAGTGAGTAAAAAATTACAGGTAGCCGATAAGAAAAAAGACGAACAATCAATTAAACAAGTCCAAGATTTGATCGATACGATACGACTACATACCGCGATAGCCGGGAGCTTGTTATTCCAATAGAAAACGCCTTTATCGACCGATAATTCTTCTTCTTCGGCCATAACTAGGTATTCGGTAGCGTATCTAAGATAGCTCGTATTTCCCGTCGCGAAAAACAACCAAGTCCCTCCCCATACTAACTCATCTTTGTATCCTGTTGAGTTATAGAACTGTCTTGCTTGTGCCCCACACCCGTCTTTCATCGTATACGTACCTTGAACAAACCCGGCCTCTTCTTTTGTGACGATGTCAAATAATTCCGTCGCCATTTTCATTAAGCTCGTTGAATATTTTCCGTCTTCCTTGAACACTAACGATGCCGCTGAAAGTGCTGCGATAATCTCTCCGCCCAAATCTGAGGCCGTCTCATCACAACTGAAAACTGGCCTTTTGTATCTCATATCTTCGGGTCTTTGCCAACAACTGATATCGTCGTCACCTCCGACCTTGACGTATAAAATATCAGTATCTTCTAAAATGCGTTGAACGTTAGGCCCAAACTCGAATTCACAAATGAACTCAAAAAACACCCAAACATAAACAGGTTTGAAAACGATGATGGGTCAAATATAAAAGCCCAAACTTAAATCGAAAAAGTGAGGTCGACGACTCTTTACCATGGTAAGCGCTTACCGGGTAAATTGTTGCATATGATGTCGTTTTGGTGGACTAAAATCTTACCCGGTAAGTAAATAATAGTGTTAAATTTTACCGGTAAGCACTTACAGGGTAAGTGTTTGATAAACGGCTCCTAATAACAAAATCTCAAAACAGAAAAAAGAAATTTTTTTAAGCAAAGTCGATTTTTCAATATCTTATGATGATTTATATAACCATTTTGTATACTTTTGTCCATGAGAGCTTTTGCGACGCTTTATTCCGTCTCAATGTTGTCGCAAAATCGTTAGTTTTTTCGAGGTACCTGTGAAATCAAAGTACTTGAAGCCGGAGAAGTTTCATTCGAAGGGATGAAAAGCTTGAGCAAATAGTCGCTCCCCCATTTGATAATGTTCTTGATGTGATCGAGTTCGCCTATATCTTCGTATTTTTTATGATATTCGATTACAGACCAACTCAACAACGTGATCGTATAGGCCGTAGGAAAACTAAACTTGATGTTGTTTCCTGAGTCGTAAAATCCACCGACGAGACTCGCGTTCCCGTCAAGTAATCCAGAATCGCCTCGAAACTTCACGATATTGTCTTTTGGCAATACCCCAGCTGCACAAGGAAAAAAAGTTTAACTGAAATGATCTAAAGAGGATCATTTTTAACTCAAAAATCTCGCTAGGCGTCGTGAAAGCTCTTTAAGACTTTCGCGACGGCTATCATGGTCCTCTAAGACCTTTTTTTTGTAACGATGTTAGCTCAAATGGATAGGTTAAAGGGTAGTTTCATTTACATTTCTGAGCGTCAAAGAAAAGTAGAGCATCTTGAAGCGTTGCGGTTAGGTTTTTCGAGAGGCCACGATGATGTTGTTTGTTTGGCAAGAAACGCGCCAAGAGATAGAGAACAACGGCAAGCGAAACAAAGGTAGACGCCGTGAAAATAAAGCGTTTTAGGAGGTCTTTATTGGTGACGGTTAGATTGAAATCAACGGATTTAGAGAATCGGGAAGGGAGTGATTCGTAGTCGGAAGGGTCTCGAGGTTGAGGGAGAAGGTTGTAATCGATCTCGATGGAATTCCAACGGCTCGACGATGGGAGAAGACGGCCGGCATGAGAGATTGAGTGAACGTATGTGATGTTGTTTTTGGTGTCGGAGGTTGGACCCGCGTCCATCGGAGATCCGATCGAGTAAGAGGATTCAGGGTTGGTGTTTTTTTATGTAAAAAGCGTGAGCTTGATTTGATGATTCTATGAATTCATCGTCGAGAATAGGCATTGGAAAGTGCTCCGATTAATTGGGAACTTTTGTCCTACTCTTGCATCCAAAAACAGAATATATATATATATATATATATATATATATATACACACTTATATATATATACATATTCTAAATGCAACCATGATTATTTGTACAACCAATACAACCTAATTAATTGAGATATTTATAGGAATGATGAGAGTTTATTTATTATTATTTGAAGATTTATGGAATATGACTATAGTTCATTCATTGTAATCAATACTTTATATTAAAAAAACAATCAAAACTTTTATGAAATCACATATTTATCAAATTAAATGGACGGTTGGGATTGAGTTATATTGATTGTACATATGCAAATGGTTGCATTATAACTTATATATATATATATATATATATAATTTTGAGTAATATAGAACTTGTTATTCTTAACTCTTGAGTTCAGGAATCCCTATATAATTTAAGTGATATAATAAAAACCTTTTCTCTTCTTTTATTAACTGATTTATGTATCAGATTTCATCTGTCCCATGGTTGGTAACTGATGATTGGTTTTGTCTACAAGGATTTTGGATTTGTTCATAATCATCAAATTATATTTGGTCTTGTTTCCACTTTTTCAGTCATTTTAGATACAATTTTAAAATATTGGAGCGATCAAATATACGAGTGGTTTGAATTTGATTGTTCATCATCTCTCTCTCTCTCTCTTTCTCTATAAATGAACTCTCATTATTTCCATAAATATTTCAATTTATTGGGTTGCATTGATTGTACGAATGTGATGAGTTGCATTTAAACAAACTATATATATATATATATATATATATATAAGGGAGATATATATGTAAGGGAGATATATTTTGCAAACCAAATCATTTGTACAATCATGAAGACCATCGATTTCATTGTTTATTTTAGTAAAAACATTTCAAAAAAAATGTTTAATATGAAGAAATTGTTTCAAATGATTCATTTTAAATAATTATAGACATTATCATCTTCATTCTATTAATTTTAGGGCAAATTGCATGAAAAAGTAACGTACTTTAACTTGATTCCTATTTTGGGTAACGTACTTTCAAAACTTTCATTTTGGTACCTATTGATAGAGCAAATTGCATGAAAAAGTAACGTACTTTAACTTGATTCCTATTTTGGGTAACGTACTTTCAAAACATTCATTTTGGTACCTAAGATGTAAAGTTTTAAACATTTAAGTACCCGGGTAACTGGTTGAAATATTAACCGATTATCATGCTGATATGGCGAGTGATGTGGTATCAAACTCGATATTATTTGCTGACGTGGTCAGTGACGTGGATTTTTTAAAATCTAAAATTAGTATTTTTTTTAGTCTAAAATTAGTCTTTCCGGGTTACCCGGGTACTTAAATGTTTACAACTTTACATCTTAGGTACCAAAATGAAAGTTTTGAAAGTACGTTACCCAAAATAGGAATCAAGTTAAAGTACGTTACTTTTTCATGCAATTTGCCCTTAATTTTACTAGACAAATTAATTTCATCAAAATAATAAATACATGAAACAATTTGTTTTTTACATATAAACAAAAATATATGAAACATTTTCATCAAAAAATGAATTATCTTAAATAATTTTATCATATTAAACAATTTTATAAAAAAGTTTGACTAAAATTTTCTTATTTTGAATGATTAAGTCTTTAAACTATATTTTTGAATGGAAAAAACCATTAAACATTCTTTTTTGGAATAAACAAAAGCATCAAACTTTTTCATTTTGATTGATCAAGTCTTTGAACATTTTTTTAATAAATAAACAATTGTATTTCTCAAAACTAATTACTCACATTCTTTTAACTCAAAAATAGTTACAGTAACCGACTAGTACAAATCAATGATTTATTTTTATTTTTTATAAATTTAGGATCTTAATCATTCAAAAAGAAAAAGTTTAATGGTATTTTCATTTAAAAAAAAATAATTCAGGGACTTTATCATTTAAAATGAAAAAGTTCAATAAGTTTTTATTTAAAAAGTTAGTTTATAGACTAAATCATCCAAAATAAGAAAGTTTGTTGGGTTTTTTTTTGGACTTTTCTCAAAGATATATTATATATATATATATATATATATATAATTGATTTAAATTTTATATTACTTGATTTACTTTAATCAAATGTTAGGATTTAAAATATAATTTCACATATTCTTATTTTATAATATGATAATTTCACATATATATGTTTCAACATGTGAAATCATTTTACGTGTGCTTTTACTTTCACTAAGTGGAACAAAAAAAATGTTCCACGTATAAATTTTTCGTAGGGTGAACACAAATATTTTAAATTAAAGCTTTTGATAAATTAAACAATTCAGAGAATATTTTATATCGGTTCTCACGAGTCATGGGTTTGTAAGCTTGTTTTAGTTCTCATTTGTTATTATCCTATGTGTGTGCATATATATATATATATATATATATATATATG